TCTGCTACTGCGCGCCTACTTCTGTTGTATTAATATCTGAGTCTTTTACTGCGGAGCCTAAGGGAGGGGAGGACAATTGATACATTGTTTGCATACTATCTGAGTGAACCGATCACAGGCAGACACTGAAACACAGCGTTGCCTACAGTGAGTAGATGAGATACCGAGATACCTTGCCAGCGAAATGCAAGGAAAATGGGTCCAAAGCTAGAGCTGGATAGTCTTCTTCACTTAGTATCAACTAGAGACTTTTGCTAGAATATTTTCGAGCTTTTATAATATGTTTCAAATGACGAACGAAAGCTCATCTCGTTCCCACCCGAAACCAGGGAGGATGTCACTGTATACTGACAAGATCGTTCCACTAATTTCTTCATCATACATTTCAATATCAAATGAAGGTCTTCACAACAAGTTTATCTCAAGATAATCACCAAAACCCGCTTCTTCTTCGGTTATGCAGAAATTATCATCAGGAATCTTGACGTTCGTTAAACTTAGGCTAGCTATGGAGCTGTAATTTCGTTGACTTTGTCGCCGATCTAAAGGAAAATAGATATGCACTTCTCAATGCAATCAAGGTTGAGTATGAAGGCTGGACTGGACACTCTTTGGCTTTGGCAATCAGAGGTTACTGATAGGGCTATTTAGACTGTAACTAAGTGTGCTAGATTAAGTGATATAGACAAAATCTGATCCAGATCTCCGCAATGTTGTTCACGATTGAGCTTGTATTGCAGCCCATATCGGGCTCAGATCGTGACTTTAGAAAAACTTTGTGGTCTGTATTCCCTAGCCAATTGCATTGCAGTGGGTGAGCCCATTCACTACTCCGTAAGCGCACAACTGAGGTTAGATGGGCTCGAGCCGTAAAGCCTAAAGCCAATGCCACACCCATTTTGGTTGTGTTACTGTTCTTCTTAATCTGCCCCAGCAGCTGTCCGGTAATGCCCAAATTCAATTTTTGGACAAGCCCTGTCAGGAGATCACTTGATTCACACGCAATAAGCCGAGCTTTCTCCTCGTACCTGAACGTGCTCTCGAGGGTTCAGACGAAAGTTACGCAGAATGACTGGACTCAGGTTCAAGCATGGGCAAATCGGACAGACCTTATTGCATCTTGGCCAAATTGTCACGCTAACTGACCTATCTAATTACAAGGTCAAAGGCGTGGTCGTTCGTGTAATAATGGGAGGGCGATGATGGCGGTTGTGGTGGTGGTCCCTACACAAGCAACTTGGTCGGTAGGTGTGTGAGCCTATGGGCTTGTGTGTAAGAAGAGAAGATGAAAGAAAGTGTAGAAACTGGCAAAGGGAGTGTGTAAATCCTCTTTCATAGGAGGATGGCTAAGACCCAGATTAGCTGAGCTCAAGACCCGACCCTTTTGTCGAGCCTTAAATTGCTCCGCTCGTCTTAATGGTTGTGCCAGGAGGCTTCTTGGCATTTTAGGCTTGAGTAGAGGGCGGTATGGGTTTTCAACCAAGCGACCTAATTCGGGCGGTTCAGTTCCAAGCAGCAGGAAGATGAGGCAGGGAAAACACAGCAAAGGGGTCTGCCCAACGGACCAACTTATGTCAACGGGTGGACTGATCGCTTCAGTCCAGCCGAATAAATCAGTACGGATCCCAGAAGTAGTAGGGACAATGACCATTTGCAAGCATGTATATGCGCGCAAGACCAATTGTCCGTGATCAAAAGGGTATCAGCCAACTCCTACAAAGAGCTCTTTTGCTGTATCTTTTGCCCCTTCTCTCTGAGTGCCCTAATCCCGTAGCATATTGGCCGTATGCACGTGTCAGAAGCCAGTGTGAAAGTAAGAAAGATACTCTCAGCATGAAGTGATGCCGTGTAGGAATGAGGAAAGTGCCCTGCAATTATCTCATCTTCATGTTGCCGGAATCGGTCTATCCCGCCTTGTCCCACTGTCGAGCTTTCCCTTCCCTCTTCGGCCAATCATTCTCAACCAACTGGCCCGTTTCTGTGACTCCCCCACATGCAGATGCTTTTACGATTAGCTCACCTGCCTCTGCCCATCTTTTGCCTCCTTGCCTTGGCTAACGAAGGAGAAGGTGGAGAAAGATGGGCCTGACCTGACAGAGCAAATTATACGTTAATCTTATCAGGCCCGAGGTCAGTCTTTTTGGCGAAATTTTCGGAACATAAATTTGCCCTTCAAACTGTTTGTCACTATAACCTCAACTTCGGCTTATTCCATGTTGCTGATATGCTCTAAATTCAGTTTTACACAAGCTTGGTTTGTGCAAAAAATTCTTTTGACGATCTCGCTCTTGCGACTGACTCGTCGGAACAGGACGATCTTGAAGAGAATAT